TCTTAATGCCCAGGACTCAACCCTGGTCAATGTAAGTTCCAAGCTGGGTGTCTTGTCTCTGAATCACAGGAAGAAGAGCCTTAGCTGCAGATAGGGCACATAGGACTTCCCAATCCTGGGCCAACACAGCAACAAGGCAAGGAAGAGTCAGCTGCAGACTCACCTGTGCAGATGTTTCAGGCTCAGGCATTACTGTCCAGCCAGCCTCACACACTTTAGGCTGCTACTCAAGAATTTCCAGAAGCTCCATAAGGGAATATACGTAGCAACTAATCCGTAGGCAGGCACCCCAACCCTAGTTCAAAATCTATCCCATTTATACTGGGCTAGTAGAAATCCCATTCCTTCAGGGAGCACAAGATGTGTAGGGCTGAGGCAGTAGGAATGGGCACAAGCTGAGCCACAGCACAGTTCCATGAGCTCCCCACCAATGCAGAAACTCAATGTACACTGTCAGAGAGAAGCCATATTCACCAATATCAAGTATTCCTCTGCTGAGGTCATTTCAAACACTAGTGAGGTAAGGAGACCCAATGTCTAGATGTATTTGGTGTGGACTAAGGGTAACCCAGAGGCATAGTCCCCACCATTTTGCACCTTTTGAACACTTACCTCTTCACATGTAATGTAGACAGAAGATTACACACACAAAGTAATATATGCTCACTACTGTGTTCACGGAGCTTACAAATGGGAAAGTTCTGGCAATTCTGACCATTTCAACTGCTGGATGGTGAGTCCCCAAGGTCCTTCTGTGTGCCTGCACAAGACCAGGGGCAGCACAGCCCTCTCAGGTCAGCAGAACTAGAGAACCTTGAGGAGCAAGCTGAGGTTCACCCAAGGACTCTGTCTAAGAGGGTCCCTGCCATACCCCATCCAGTGGCCACATGCCATGTGACCCCCAAGCATCCACCAACATCGTATACATGTAGCAGTAATGCCCACACACTCTTCACTGGTCTTGACTCCCTAAAACTGAGATCCTCCTAGCTGCAGATCCACCTTCATGTCATGTCCACCAGAGATTCGGCCACTCCAACCATCTCACCTCCTAGCACCAGATTCACCAAGACTTGGTGGCTGGGCTCTGCTGAGTCAGTGACTTCCCTCCCACATTAGAGACTGCAACCTACTTTGTATATTAGGCACCCTGCTTGGTTCCCTCTTACCAGGAGATGAACTGCACAGATCAGTCAGCACAACCAGCAGATGTGCGGCAGGTCCCGACACTACAGTTTCAAACAGAAATAGCAAAAAACATGAGCAAAGCACATTTAAGGGATTTTTTTCACACAATAAAGTGTTGTTGTGGTGGTGATGTGCTGTCGAGTCAGTTCTGACCCATAGCAACCCTGTATAGGGTTTCCAAGGAGTAGCTGGTGAACTTGACCCACTGAACTTGCAGGTCAGAGTAAAAACAAAAGTGTCTTCAAACACATCAAGAGCAAATTTAGGACAGATAATCCAAAAGACCAGGGATAGACAGATGGCTACTACCACTATTATTACTGTTCACTACTAATACCAGCAATACATCCAATAATTTTTGTCTGAACATGCTGCCACATGTACATAGAAAATACATAACATCTTACTCAGGAGGGAAAGTAAGATGTGACCTGTGTCTAAAGGCCCATACTTGCTGCTCAGTGGCTCCTGTGTTTTGCTATGGGCCTTTAGCAGACACCTTATCTGGAGAGCTGCCCATGAAAGTAATTGCTCCACCTGGATGTAGTAGGCCCCACGGGGCACAGTCCGAGGCTGACTCAGTTCAATAGTCAGTGTTCTGAATGTAACTGGGAACTGGCAACCAATCTGACAGGTCTTTAGGGGATATCCTTGCCATGACAACTTAGATAAGAGCCTGTGTGAAACCAACCCTTGTGGAAAGATGGATTTCTGCTTAAACACTTTAGTTTTTAAAGCCCTGGGGACACAGTGGGTTAAGTACTTAGCACTAATTTTCAAGGTCAGAGGTTCAAACACAGAAGCTGCTTACAGGGAGAAAGATGGGGTATTCTGAGTCTGTAAAGACATAAAGCCTCAGAAACCCTATGGAACAGTTCTACTTTTTCTTTTAAAGCCACATTATAAGTTGGAATCTTGCTCACAGCAATGAGTTTAGTCGGCTTTTAGATTTCTACATCAGGACTCTTACATTGGTAGAAAAGTTGAACAGATGGTACATATACCCCCCAACCCAAGTTCCCCTGCTTTAAAGATCTTAGTAGGATGGTACATTTATCACAATAAATGGACCAATATTAATACATGATTACTAACTGAAGTTCATACTTCATCCACTTTCCCATAATGTCCTTTTCCTACCCACACAGAACCCCACCAGTGACCCAGTTTCATGTCTCCTGAGGCTCTTCTTCACTCTGACCCTGATGGGATTAAGGTCTCTCTGTTCCCCCATGAGCTCTACCAAAAATGAGCAAACAGACTTAGTTCCAGGAGAGATATACCTCACAACTATAGTAAAAGGTAGTGAAGCAGACTTGGGAAGGATTGTTTTTAAGGAGTTGTAGAAGATGTCTCTCTCTCCACTGTAGGAAGCACCAAGATTGGGGCATGCTCAGGAACAGCATCAGGAAAGCATCTGCCTTGGAAAGCATCTGCAGCTGTGTTTGGAAGCATGCAGAAAAGACCCTGAATGACTCACAGAGTCAATAAAAGGGAATCTAAGGCAGATGCTAGTGGAGAGTTACATGGAAGACAGAGGCAGAGGAAGTGGCGATTCTGCCAGACACAATACCAACCAGGACTATACTGGCAAACAAGTTGTATCATCTGCACATCTCAGGTTGTTAATGAGCATTAAGCCAATCATTTGCCAAGAGAAGATGGTACCACACAAAGCCAGGTATTTGCTGAAATATAGGAAAATAAAGGCTGCCATCTCCTCATGTCCCTTCCCAGTTTGTCTCCCAGGCTCAGGTACAGCTAAGCTCACACAACAGCAGGAATTCTCTGAGAACATAACCCTCTGCACATCCCAGTGTCTGACTCCACCCCTGATATCCTAACTTGCAAGGCGTGATGCACTGAACACAAGGTCCACAACTATGAGAGTCCCACAGACAGTGTCCACCTGGCAACATGTATGGGATGGCTTCATTCATAAACTGCATCTGGTCCAGCTCCATCCACTAAAGAAGTTTTCTTCTGGACTCCATGAACTGCAGGGATGATTTTCCATGACAGACCAATAACAGAGGAGGGGAGGGCCTCTCCACATACCCATCAATCTGATTTATTCCTTCCATCAGCAAACACTGTGTCCCAGATGGCAAAGACATTATTGTAGACACTAAGGACTAAAGGACAAAGAGGTGACAGATACCAACATAAATGCAAGATTTTTTTGGTGACAGAGGATGGAACCAAAGTGACATGTTTACATCTACATCTAAGCCTATCCCTGTAAGCTCCCTAAAAAACAAAAACAACAAAAAATGTTGGGAGCCACTTTGCCATGTCCAGGGAAGACGGACAATGGACTCTCTCTCTCTCTCTCTCTCTCTCTCTCTCTCTCTCTCTCGGTCCTGAGCAATGGAAAGAGAAGAATATGAGAGTCTCCAGGCATCAGAAATGGTCAGTCACTTTGGAGGATTTTTGGAGTCTCATGGCCTTCTGTGGTCTCTAAGTCAGTAACTGGTAGGCACTGTACTGAGGCTGTTGATATTTGTTGATGTATCACAGAACTTCTGGTAGGCATCGGGCCCAACATTGTAACAAGAGTGTATCATGCTGTACAGTGTGTTACATAATACCATTCATTCATTCTACCAGCCTAGCCACAGTTGGGTTGAATGAGACATGGAAATGAAAAAAATGCTCAAATCATCTGCCCACTCCTGTACCTTGTGAACATTTTTGGATGTAACCAAGTATCCAGTTG